GGGGGTGCAGTATTGATAGTTATGTATCAAATTGTGAGGTATATGGTATGTTTCATGTATTGTGAAGTACTGTATTCAGACGTCAGCTTCATTCCCCACAGACACATGTAAAAAGCTCAAGCCCTCAACGAGAGGCATCATTTGTTTACATATCCATAGTAGTCATGGAGCTTTTAATGAGTACATTATATATGCATAAATAGAAATGTGTCGTAGCCTAATCATTGATTAATAATCAAAACAATAACATATGAAGCCATCTATCAAATGTGGGGTGCACAGTCGAAACTCTATGTAGTTGTGCTCAAGTCTCGTAATCGGATTATCAATCGAACATGTGAAACTTGAAAGTTAATTGGATGAATATAAGTTGTAGAGACCATTCTCTAAAAGGTGAAATAAGTCTTTTTACGAAACTATTCCATTTATAAAATCATTCTTTTGTCAAAATCAAATTTTTCATAATGTAATTACAAGGCTCGGTAAATCTTTCATAAACATCTATCTATACTATATTAAAAGTACGAAAGTCGTTAGCGAAATGTCGTTCGCCTTTTTTACCCTTTTTAAAATAGAGTTCACATTAGACAAAATAGTCATTTGATTATTTCCCTAATATTTAAAAATAGTCATTTAATTAATTCCCTACTATTTAGGAATAGTTATTTAATTACTATTCCTATAATACTTATAATTGACACACATACTAGGAAACTTTTGATACTTTCAACTATATTTAAATTTAGGAGTATTAAAATTTCACACTTGAAAAGTTCTTAAATTTTGACTAATTCATGCACACTAGGAAAGTTTTGATATAAATTTTTGACACTGAATTTTTTATAATTATATTAGATGAAGATGAGCTCTTTGAAAACTTATAAGAATCTTTTTTTAATAAAATTTTCACCCAATTTTATATACGTCTATAATTCTATAAAAAGAAGTTACAATTTAACATTTTCATCATCATAATTTTGCCTTGTTGGAGCAACAGCTACAAAATTAAGGGTTTTAGGTTTTCTTTCTTTGAGCAATTTTTTTACTAGCAGTTGAATTTTGCATTCATGTATTTGTATTAGTAGTTGAATTTTGCATGCACGTACTTAACCAATACATCTTATTTTGTTGATCTGGATTGTAAAGCTTGGTTGAATAGAATCCTTTTTGTATTAGACTGTATGTTTTAACCTTTAGTTAAGTTATTTCTTTTACTATTTTTTCGTGCTCTTATTGGACAAAACTGTATTAAATTATTTTTCTTAAAATTTTAAGATTTTGCAATTAACTAAAATTTTAGTTATAATTTTTTTATTTGAACTACGTAGGAAGTCCTAATATTTAATACTCTCAAATCAATTAAGATTTTACCTTATGAAATTTTTAAAAATAATTTATTCATTGGAACTAAAAAGCACGAAGGCCCTAAACGAAATGTCATTCGTCTTTTTTACCCTCTAAATATAAAGCTCACACTAGATAAAACAGTCATTTAATTATTTCTCTTATAATTAAAAATATTTTGTTTAATAGATTTCCTAATATTTAGAAATACTCATTTAATTATTCTCCTACTATTTAGGACTTTAATTTTTCTATTCCTTTTAGATCTACAAGTCGTTGCTTTTCAAATCTACGTAGATTTAGTAGTATTAAATTTTATGAACTTTCAATTACCACTAGGAAAATTTCTGAAACTTTGTACCACTTATATGTTTAAGATGATCTTTTAATAAAATTGTCGTCACTTTCAAAATTTCATTCAATTTTAGACTTATGATGGTTTTTCACTTTCTACCTCCACTTAAATTTAGCAGTATTAAATTTTAAACATGATTTATCCTAGGAAAGTGACCACTTTGTAACTCCTTTTAGTTTTAGGAGGCTTTTTAAATAAAATTTTGACTCAGTTAAATTTCAAGCACTTTCGTTTTATACTAGGAAAGTTTCGATCACTTTGTACTCATTTTAGATTAATTTTTTATAAGTTATTAGGTAAAAAAAATAAGCACTTTGAACTCCTTTTTGTTTTAGGAGTCTCTATTTTTTCTTTAAAATATTTATTTATTTTAACTATATATAATTTTACCTTACATAAATCTTTTCTTGTTTCAATTATATTAATGCTTCTATAAAAGAAGCTTTACTATTTTACTGTTTTTATCATCGAAACTTACGCAATTTTCCTTTAGAAAGTGTCAAAAAAATTGCACTAAACAAAATAGTTATTTAATTATTTTTTGCATATTTAGGACTTTAATTGTTTCTTAAATATTTAGGACGTCAAAATTAATTAAATTTATGTATTAAATTTTTTTCTATTCTGATTATGTACTATACCTTATTTGTAAAAGAAAATCACGTTTTTAAATTTAGAATCTTAAAATCCATATATTACAAATTCAAATTAGTACTTCCAAGTTCCAAGGCACGTAGGTCATATGCCTTGAAATCATACTTTTAGCTTCGAACAACAATTTTAGGTTCAAGGGTCTTAATTATTATATTTTAAAACTTTCAAAGCGGGTAGACACAAAATATAGTTTCATCTTTCAATCGAATGTTATTCCTCTGATATTTTTATATAATAAAGCAAGCAGTGGCGGAGCCACATTGAAGCAAGGGGTGTCAAGCAACACCCCTTCGTCGGAAAATTACATTATTTTTCTAGATAAATTTTTTTATTTTATGTATATTTACTATGCGTTGACTCCCCTTGACTTTTCGATATATCTAATTATTTATATTTTGACACCCCTTGATGAAAATTCTAAATCCGCCACTGAAAGCAAGTATTAGAACAAACTAAAGGAAAAACTACTAGAATAGATCAAATTCCTAAACATGATTAACACAATTATCATTTAAAACTTATAATTTTTTGTTAATTCTTATATTATAACGTAAACACATCTTTTGAATAGTATTTATGTTATTTTTAAAAAATTATTCTCATTAATATGAGGTAACACCCAGCGAACATACAATAAGATGCAATGCGTATTTTCCATCTATTGATACTATATTAAAAGCAAGAAGCTCCTTAGCAAAATTTATTGCATTTTTTATCCTTTAAAATAGCTTTCATATTAGTCAAAGCTATAATTTAATTATTTCTATTATCTAAAATTTTAAAATCAAATAAAATTTTAATTATTAAAACTTATTTTTTTCTTATTTTAACTATATAGAAACTCCTAATATTTAGAATTACATCGTCAATAAATTTTCTTTCACATATTTGACATAAAATTTTACTCTCCAAAATATTGTTACTACAGTTTTTTTATCTAACATTAAATGTACATACAATATTTTACTCCTATGATTAATATTTGTTTTTAGTAATTTACGTGTATTTTTCCCCACAATAATATACATGCATATTTACTTTTAATATTCTTTGCTAAAATATTTGGCATTTTAGTAAATGCATCATAACAAACTTAATCAAATTATTTATCATTGTAGGTCCAATTATTGTAACTAATTATCGCATTAACTTAATAAACAAATGTTTGCATCTACTTTAATGTCCATTACAATTTTACATAACTTATTCTTTTACATAAATTTTAATTGATTGACGCGATAAACACATGCAACGCACGTACCCTAAAGCTAGTATTATATTAAAAGCACGAAGGCCCTTAGTGAAATGTCGTTTGACTCTTTTATCCTTTTAAAATAGAGTTCACATTAGATAAAATAGTCATTTGATTATTTACCTAATATATTTAGGATCTTATAATCACCTAAAATTTTGTATATTGAATCCTGCCTTATTTAAAATACTACTCTATCTACAAGAAGTTCAAATATTTAGGACTTTAAAGCATTACAATTATAACTAATTCAAATCTTTCCAAACATGAGTTGTCGACATAAAAATGTAAAGATGGAAACTTTACCTCATTAATATGGTAGTAAAACTAGAGCATCTTTATGAGATATATTTTAAAATTCAAGTTTATGTTATATTTAACTAGATTATATGTATGATTGATATTATTTGGTTGAGTAATTAAATGTTTGATTCATGGGTAAAATACTAGCACTTTGGTCCAAATTAGAATATATTGAACTTTCTGACAAGTCTATTCATTCATATACTAGCATTTATTTTACAAATTGAAACTAAATAAAAAGGAAAATATCATATTTATATAATTATAAAATCAAACAAAAATCATGATTCAGTTAGATTAAAATAAAATACCACAAAAATTATATAGTGTTGGATTTAGTCTCAAAAAATTTTTGAATCGCAATACCTTGAAAGTTACGAATACCAATCTCAAGCTACTTTAAGAAATAAAAATCTAATGTAAACATATACATCTTATAAATTTATTTAATATTTCAACTAAATCTTGCGTATTAGATCCTTTCCTTATTTTAATCATGTGATATAGTATTTTTATAAAAGAAAATTAATACCAAAATTGAAACTAGATAAAAACGAAAAAGTCGGATTTATATAATTATAAAACCAAACAAAAAGCACGATTCAGTTGAATTAAAATAAAATACCACAAAAATTATATAGTGTTGGATTTAGTCTAAAACTTTTTTGAATCGCAATACCTTGAAAGTTACGAATACCAATATCAAGCTACTTTAAGAAATAAAAAAATTAATGTAAACATATACATCTTATAAATTTATTTAATATTTCAATTAAATCGTGCGTATTAGTTCCTTATCTTATTTTAATCATGTGATATAGTAATTTTATAAAAGAAAACTAATATCAAAATTGAAACTAGATAAAAAGGGAAAAAAAGGATTTATATAATTATAAAACCAAACAAAAAGCACGATTCAGTTGGATTAAAATAAAATACCACAAAAATTATATAGTGTTGGATTTAGTCTCAAAATTCTTTTGAATCGTAATACTTTGAAAGTTACAAATACCAATCTCAAACTACTTTAAGAAATTAAAAAACTAATGTAAACATATACATCTTATAAATTTATTTAATATTTCAACTAAATCTTGCGTATTAGATCCTTTCCTTATTTTAATCATGTGATATAGTAAGCAACCTCCACTTCCAACCAAGAGGTTGTGAGTTTGAGTCTTCCCAAGAGCAAGGTGGGAAGTTTTTGGAGGGAAGGATGTCGGGGGTCTATTTTGGAAACAGCCTCTCTACCCTAGGGTAGGGGTAAGGTCTGCGTACATACTACCCTCCCCAGACCCCACTAAGTGGGATTATACTGGGTGGTTGTTGTTGTTGTTGTTGCTGATATAGTAATTTTATAAAAGAAAATTAATACCAAAAACGAAATTTTCACAGAGAATAAGTAAAAACATAACTATTACTCGTTGTAAGTTTGAATTATTCGTTGTATAAAATTATAATCAATTAGTTTTATATAATTTAATTATCTTTAAATAAAAAATGAAAGTGAAAAAAAAGTAATTAGTAGGAAGCTATAACTAAATTAGATAGTGCCAATCAACTCTCCTTCGATTTTTTTATTCTTAATTACAGATATATAATCGATCATAAATTAATCAAAGATTCATATTNATTAAAATCAATTAGTTTATATAATTTAATTATCTTAGTAAAAAATAAAGAATAGAGAAAAAAATTGTGAAAATTTATGTTTAATTATCTAGGTATNATTTATGTTTAATTATTCTAGGTATCAAATAGTCTGTCCTCAGCCTTTAGTCAAAGATTCATATTATAAAATTTATGTACCAAAATATAAAACTCATAATAAATTCTATAATTAGATATAAATTATTTTAATATTTACAATTATTATACTCTTTAATCAACATCCAATTCTAAAGTTACTTTCTAAATGACACTTAACAATCGCACGTTCGGTATACAAAATTTAATAATATTTATATATTTTTTTTAAAGTTCTAAATTTTTAATATGTGGTACATGCGCAAAGCGTGTAGGAATAAATTCTTTTAGTCTTTTATGTTGTTTTTAATGTGCCACGTATTTAAAAGTTATTGTAAAGTTTTTACTGGCTTGATGATATAATTCTACTAATTTATGATCCATGCTTAAATTATTGATTTAAACTCCATGTTGCTTAGTATTTTGTATGTTCATATGTAACTTTATTCATATATTTGATATTTTCTTATATTATTCTCATGCTGATTTTGGTTGTATATTTTTTTTGAGATGAGAATAAGCAGAAGAATCAAAAGAAGAGAATAAAATAGGATTGAAATGGTGAGAATAATCCTAATTTTTTTTAGATGCCTAGATTCATTTATCTTATTCAAAAACTGTAATTCTCCATTTTTTTCTAACCATTTCTCCTTTGAAATTACAACAATTGAAAATATAATACAAGGTTAGTATATATGAAATCACAAATATATCAATGCAAAATCGTGATGAAGCATATGTAGTTAAACACATTGTTCTTGCACATATATTTACTTGACGCGAGGCACACGTGCAACGCACGTACACTAAACTAGTCTATNAATTACAACAATTGAAAATATAATACAAGGTTAGTATATATGAAATCACAAATATATCAATGCAAAATCGTGATGAAGCATATGTAGTTAAACACATTGTTCTTGCACATATATTTACTTGACGCGAGGTACACGTGCAACGCACGTACACTAAATTAGTACTATATTAAAAGCACGAAGGCCCTTAGCGAAATGTCGTTCGCCTTTTTTACATTTTAAAAAAAGATTTTACATTGGATAAATTTGTAATTTTAAGTTGCTTTCCTAAATTTTAGGACTTTAAAATCAACTAAAATTTATTTTATTAAATCTTTCCTTATTAAACTAGATAGCATATCCTAATATTTAGCACTTTAAATTATTAACCTTTTTACCTTATATGAATGTCCTTATTTGACGTCTATTAATATTAACGCTTTAAGACCTTATATGAATGTCCTTATTTGACGCTATTAATATTAAAGCTTTAAAAATATATTAAACTATAAGATTTTCTTATTATTCAAAACTTTTGAAATTAATCGTAATATTTTCTAGAAGTAAAAAAGCACTAAAACAATAATTCTAAAAGCACAAAAACGAATCAAAATTGACATACTAATGAACAATGATTTCGGAAGCACTAAGTTTTTTGTTAAAATTGACATAATCAAAATTGACATACTAATGGTTTTTAACTATTTGAAATCAAAAATTCTATTCAACAGAGTTCTAATTATAGTTAAATTTTAAAATTGGGATGAACTAATATTAAGAATTTGATAATAAAAGTTAATTTATTTTCTTTAATGTCGAAAATAAATAATTAAGATTTTGAATTAACTAATGTAAAAGAGTTCAAGTTAATATTTTTTAAAATTTATTATATAAGTAAGTTTATTTGTCACATTGACAACTCTTTAAAGTATATAAATTAATTTTTGTAGGAAGAACATTAATGGTGAAAGAAATTAAAAAGTCAATTTATGATATAAAATTAAGAGTCAAATTGATAATAATATGAATTTGAAGCAATAAAGATGAAATAGAAGATGACCAAATATATTATAAATGAGTTGTCATTTTTCTTTCTTTCTTGCATTCGGTATTCAGTCTTATAGGTGACAATGTCTCGCTATATTATCTTTTTAAATTAAGTTAGTTGTAGTAAAATATTATTCAACATTAGTTATTTTTTAAACTTTATATTGTCACTATAAATTTTTAGGAGGTATAATGTCAACTTTCATCCTAAATTTTTAGAAGACCAACAGATTTAATTTTAATTTTCAAATTTTCATATAAGTCCTTTTTAAATCACAAATAAAGCATCTGAAAAACTTGTATGGTATATGATATCTTTATTTATTGAGCTAGCTAAATGAGAACAATATTTATTATGTTAAAAAAAATCTCTAACGTTTATTTTATAATTTTATATAACTCAAATAAATTGTATTCAGTCACAATTCAAAAAGTAGTAAATTTTTTAAGAAGATATTATTGTCGAAAATACATATATAGCAACTACATAAAGCTCTAATTCATTGCCAAAAAAAAGAAAAGAAAATCGAATTTAAATTCAATCCACCATTTAACAAGATCTAACGATTTGAATTGATTTCTTTACGAAAATATGTTGGTGTAATTTTAATTTTTAACATTCGAATATAGTAAATTTTATTTGAAAAAAAATATAACAAATACATATTTGATTGCCCGTAGGACTACAATTTGAAGTCAAATTACCTATTGATTTAACATTCAGAAACCTCTTCTTCTTTTTTCTCTTTTTCGGTCTAAAACTTTCAATTATTTCGACACATGTATTGCTATTTCAATATTTTGTTTGTTCCTAAGCTTCCATGGTTAGTTATTAATTGTTGGATAGGTTTTTGAAATTTATTTAGTTCTCTTTCTGATAGGTTTTTACAGAAAAGTTCGATTTTCTTCTATTATATTTTTGTATTTGATATTTATTTATCTAATGAATATAGTATTCATATGATTTTGGGACGAGATTAGGATGAATGAATTCTTTTAGTCTTTTTTTTTTAATGTGCCATGTATTTCATAGTTCTTGTAAATTTTTTATTGGCATGATAACTTAATCATATTAATTTATGATCTATGCTTTAATTATTGATTTAAACTTCATGTCGCTTAGTATTTTTTATGTTCGTCTGTAACTTTATTTACATATTTGATATTTATTTATATATTGTCGCCAATTTTAGTTGTACAAACTTTTATGAGATGAGAATAAACAGACGACTCAAAAGAAGGGAATAAAATGGTGAGAATTACCCTACATTTTTTAGATGACTAGATTCATTTTTCTTATTCCAAAACTCTAATTTTTCATATTGTTTTCTAAATTCACCCCCGCCCCTCCTTAAGTTACAACAATTGAAAATGTAATACAAGCTAAGGTTAGTATATATGAAAATTATCACAAATATATCGATGCTAAATTGATAAAAAAAAATATAAAATTGGGATGAAGCATTTGTAGTCAAAAATATTATTTTTGTACATATATTTACTTGACGCGAGGTACACATACAACGCACGTACACTAAACTAATTCATTAAAATATGCCGGTTGGCCTGTAAACCATAAACATAAGCTTTTCCCATCTCTAGGGAAGTTCCTATTGGACACTAACAAAGTGTGCCATGTATATATCATCACAACGTTCATCATTTGACAACTGTATTAAGTCGTAGTAAAGAGCAAACTTGATTAAGTATGGCATTAAGATCCAAATAAATGCCAACTGTTAGGGGCATCTTACACGTCGTCATTTTTGTGGTTCGACACAGTGGCGGAATTAAGATCTCACGAAGGGGTTCAATTTTTTTTTTTTATATTTAGTGGGAATTAACCTCATGTCCTTATGTAGATTTTGAACCTCCTTGACCAATAAACTACACTTTTAGATTGTGTTAAGGGGGTTCAAAATTTAATATATAGAAGTAAAAAATAAATTTTGTCTTATATATACAATATATTTTTTCGGCGAATGGGGTTCGGGTGAACCTTGCCCCCTAAATCCGCCCCTCCTGCGTGTACGTGTGATTTAAGTGTAGTGCAGGAACACCTATTCTTTTATTCCGAATATTAATTATTTCAAACAAATACATTTATCAATAATTTTTTACTAAAGTTATCAAATGCTTATAACTAATTTCACCACTTCTACACATGATTATGCATTTGTAGGATAAATTTCATTACTTAAAATATTGTTTTACATGGTTATAAGCTACTTTGAGTCACTTAAAAGCCAAAGTGATATATGTATACTGTGGTGGAAGATATTTGTTACCAATAGATGTCAAAACCCCTCATTTAAACCACCCTTTTTCTCTCTTTCACTCAAAACCCCCCATTTTCTTTCTCTCTCCACAAGTCAAGAGAGAGAAAAAGTCACAAGGATATAGAGAGAGAAGAGTGAAGGGTCTCCATAGTCTACAATTTTTCTCTTCTTCGAAATTCTACTTTGTTTACTTGCCAAGCAAAATCCAAGAAAAAACCCCAAAAAAGAAAACCCAGATCGGCGATCCAGCAAGAAATCAAATGGGTCAGCAGAAGGCTTTGATCTATGCGTTTGTGGGTCGTGGGAATGTGATATTGGCTGAATACACAGATTTCAGTGGTAACTTCAACTCCATAGCTTATCAGTGCCTTCAGAAGCTCCCTGCTTCCAATAACAAGTTCACTTACAACTGTGATGGTCACACCTTCAATTACCTTGTCGATAATGGCTTCAGTCAGTTCTCTTTTTCTATTTTTCAATTCTCTTTCTTGTTATATAAATAGCTGTTTCTTTTTCTNGTTGTTATATAAATAAGTAGCTGTTTCTTTTTCTCTTCTTATTTGTGTTTCTGTTTCTGGGGTTTGCTTACATATGAAAAGGGATCGAAGAAATTTCTGAGAACTGTATGTAAACTCTATTGAAAAAAGTATTCTTTTTTCGAAAATATGATGATTTGACTAGCTCTAGTACTGGAAACCATACTGATCTAAAAAAATATATTACTGTGAACTATGTTATTTTTGTGTTGGGGTTTCCTAATTTTGTTGTACATTTAAGAAAATGTTCACCTTCCAAGATACATTATCTTAGCTGCTTACTTTACTGTGATCTGCTGATTGTATATTTACTTTCAAGTGAAGAGCATCGTAGCTTACTGTCTAACCTACGGAATTCAATAAGCTATTATGAGAAAGATCTGATGCTATTAGAAGATTTATTCTTTTGATATCTTTCACTTTCAGAAATATACCAACGTTGCCTAGTTTGTTAATTAGTGGAGTTACCTATGCTAACTTAATGATTCATCTTGCAGCATACTGTGTGGTTGCTGAGGAGTCCGTTGGAAGACAAGTTCCAATAGCATTTTTGGAGCGTGTTAAGGATGATTTTGTGTCGAAATATGGGGGTGGGAAGGCTGCCACAGCTCCTCCAAACAGCCTGAACAAGGAATTCGGGTGATTTTATTAAATATTTACTTCAGTGGCATGTAAAGGCAGAATGCCGAGTGATCTAACGGATGTGCTTTCTTAAGTGCAGACCTAAGTTGAAGGAGCATATGCAGTATTGTGCTGACCATCCTGATGAAATTAGCAAAATTGCGAAGGTGAAAGCCCAGGTTTCGGAAGTTAAAGGTGTTATGATGGAAAACATTGAGAAGGTAAAATGTCTTCTAATAATTGCTCATTTGCTCACCCTTGTGTCTGGTAGGTAGTTTAACTTTTTACATGATAGCTTGACATTAGATGTCTACTCTTTCTGTGTAATAATGACATGAAATAATACAAGACAAAACCATCCATGCATTTAATGGGAGATTGGGGCCATTGGACAATGGAATTTAAGAATCATTTGGACCTTGGAGAGGTTCCTTACATTAGAGAGACATCAAGGCAAATAGTTCGAATATGATCAAGGACCGTCATTTTTTTTAACTAGCAGTTTTCTGCATGTATGCTATTCTAAAGCTGCCTGCTCACCAGACCAGAGGACCTGTTAGAGTATTTTTGATGAAGTAATTGTTTTCATTGCTGGCATCAAGAAGATGCATAAATTACAAGAGAGTGTAGCAATTGTTAGCTCCTTACAAATGTTTATACTAGTACTAGGGAGCTAACAAAATTCAAAAAACTATCAGGGGAGTCTATAGGGGATAAATAAGCCCAGCTATACAAATACATGGGGCATCTAGCCTTGAGTTTTTGGGGAGAAGTTGATACTCCATCAAAATCACATGCTGTTTCTCTCATTCCAAATGCTCCAAAAAAGGCTGCAGGTATCATCTTCCATACTTTCCTGATGGTGCTGTCAACTTTCCAGTAACTCCAAGACTCAAAAGCATCCCTGATATTATGTGGCATGACCCATCTAAGTCCAAAGAGTGATATAAACATACTCCATAAATCTGCTGCAACAGGGCATTGAAGAAAAAGATGGTTGTGAGTTTCTGCCTCCCTCTGGCACATGTAGCATCTATTCACAATCTGAAAATTTCTCTTGGCTTAAGTTGTCCTTTGTCAGACAAGCCTCATTAAGTGCAGTCCAGTTGAAGCAGATGACTTTGGGTGGCAACTTGATTTTCCATATTAATTTCCAAGGCCAATGGTCAGTTATTACATTATGAGTTCCTGCTAACTTGTAGGCTGCTTTGACTGAGTACTTTCCTGCATCCGCACTACCCCATTTGAACTGGTCAGGTACTAGAGTGTTGTTTGAGAAATTGTTGAGTGAGGAAAGAAGTCTGAGCAGATCCTCATATTCCCAGTCTTGCAAGTTCCTTCTAAATGTTATGTTCCATGAGTTGCCTTCTCTGCACTGATGAAGTGTGATGAACTGTTGAGTCTGAATCACTAACCATTTGAAAGAGAGCAGGGTAGTCATTCCTTAGGGGTGTGTTGCCTAGCCATTTGTCCTTCCAGAGTTTTATTTGCTGTCCATCTCCAACTGCGAAGTGCTGGTTTTGTGAGAACTCCTCCCAGAGTTTGCAGATGCTCTTCCAAACTCCAACTCCATGTGGTGCTCTGGATAGCTTGGCACACCAATGGCTTTGGGTTCCATGCTTGGCATTGACAACTTTCTTCCATAGGCTCTGCTCCTCCTGTGTATATCTCCAAAGCCATTTCATCAATAAGCATTTGTTGTGCAAAGCTAAGTCCCTGACCCCTAGTTCACCTTGGTGCTTTGGTAAGATAACTTTAGACCACTTTACCGGGTGGAACTTGTGACCATCTTTAGTCCCTTCCCATAGAAAGTTCCTTCTGATCTTGTCAAGCTGCTTCAGGACCTTACTAGGCATTGGAAAGAGTGGCATCTGGTAGGCTGGGATGCTGTCTAGGACACTACTGATTAGAGTTAGTCTTCCACCCATAGACAAATGCTGCAGCTGCCAAAAAGCAAGTTTCTTTTCAAATTTCTCAATAACCCCACTCCATATAGCTTCTGACTTGTTAGAGTATTTGAAGCCTGTATCCTTCGTTGTTTAGTTTAAATTGTGTAACCTAGACGAAACAAGACAGGAAAGGGTATGATTAAGGGGGTGATAAAAGGGGCTCTTATTTGAATAAATGAAGAGGTAGTTGTCCTTCACTATCCTTTGATCTCAATTCTGACATTGTCACATTTGTAGTTCGTTTATGGTTCTGGACAACTCAAATAACAGGGTATAAGATTTTTCCCTGGCAATCACCTAGATCCAACCTCGGATTCTAGGTGGGCTATTTTATAATGTCAAAATCTTTACATGGAGAGCGGAACTACCTCAAACGTCCAAAAACCTCTCTTTTTCGAAAATGCAGAACATGCAGAAAGCTATGTAAGAGACAGATCATATCTATCCCCTGTTTATGAAAGGTATAACTAAATAATTGAGTGAGGTGAGGAGTCTCCTCACTGCAATTTAATAAACTGCACAATGAAATCTACTAGGAATTCTTAACATATCAAAAATTGAGCAGATTCTTATTATCTGGGGGAAGAGAGTTTACAACAGAGTAATAAGAAATAAGAATCTTGTTGATCATGAGCTGCATAATTAGCTCCGGAGTAACTATGTGATTTCTCATAAAAGTTCTGAGGATAAACTTGCCATGTTTTTCCTCCTAACTCTAGAATCCTAGAGCTAAATTTGTAACTTTCTTTGATCATTCCACAACACTCCAAATGGAGTGGAATGGATAACGGGGATATATAGCCGACCCAAACTAGCTTGGAGTTTAAGTGTAGTGGCTGCTGATGTACTCGGCTAACACTCCACTGCACTACATTAAGTATATGTCCGATTGTTTGGAGAGTGGTTCTACATAAGAAATACAATTAACCATTATTAATATCCATAAGTTCCATATTAGAAATGATTATTGTGATTTGCTTGTATTGCCTTTTCATTTCAAAATCTTTCCTTTCATATGTTATGCTTTTCACTCTGCTGGTTGACATCATGAGAGTTGATGTGGTATGTTATCTTTGTTTGAAATTCTAGGTTCTTGATCGTGGAGAAAAGATAGAGCTTCTTGTGGATAAGACGGAGAACCTTCATCACCAGGTTATCAATCTTACATTTAAATGCTTCTTTTGTTTTATTGTTTGCTTTCTGTGTTATCTTACCACCGATGCTGGTGCAATTTTCCTACACATTGGGAATGGGATTGACTCTTGTTGGTGTTCAATCTTCATATGGACCCATAGGATGGGATAGAACCTCGATCGGAACATTTTTTATTTTTTTTTGCATTTTAACTTGAGGTTACATGTAGCTAATGTTACTCTGTGGTTTGCAAGTGAGCTACAAGTGTGCAACCAACTTGCTTTTGGATGTCGTTCAGCTCATTCTGGGTTGGGTGCTAACTTCACTGATGGTGGGGCTCATCAGGCATTTGCTTTATGTGTTGCCTGGTGTTCTAACTTTATCCATAGGCGGAGGTGGTTAGAGTTTCAACAAATTGACGCCGCCTTTCATTTGCTTGATTGTTGCCTGCCTATCTTCCATCTTTGTTCTTGTTTTTCTGCTGACATCGTATTTAGTCTGTCTTTTCCATAAATCTATGACATTTTGCTTGATCTGGCATTCATATCTTCCTCAACCTACACAAAAGAAGTAAAAGAAGATTACCATTTTGCTTGCCCCTTCTTTATGTTGTAGTGAGATGTGTTCTGGTGCTGTATAGGTAGCTACTAATCTGATGCATGGCAATATCTGTGTGACAACTAAAGATATTATGATATGTATCCTTGTCAATTTTGATCTGTTCAATATAACATTTGCTGTCAACTTTCCCCCCCCAAAAAGTTTTGTTGTCAAGGTTTGACTACACTTTTCATAAAAATAGGAATTACTTTTATTGTTGTTCTTCCCTCCAACTTTTGTGTGATAAACTTCCAACTTTGTTGTAGTTAACCAAGATTATTAAACCAGCCATAGTACAGAGCTCAACCGACTGTTGTACCAAGTTTTCTTTTGCCCCAAAGCAAAGTTTGTGTTATCTGTATATAAGCAATCACCAATTCCAGTGGTCTTCTTTGATTGTAACAGGCACAAGACTTCAGGAATACTGGAACCCAAATCCGGAGGAAAATGTGGCTGCAAAACATGAAGATCAAGCTGATAGTGTTAGGTATCCTGATTGCTTTGATCCTCATCATTGTCCTCTCAGTTTGCAAGGGGTTCAATTGTGGAAAGTAAACATGTTTATGTTGTGATGCATGCAATTCTACGAAAAGCTTCGTCCTATATCAGCATTGATGATTCTACGAGAAAAGAGACAGATGTTATGTTCTGTATGTATTAGTCTATTAGAGTACTCACTGTTTCTGTTTGTTGGAGCAGAAAGGATCCGTTTTGTTTTATTTACGTTTGGGTCGAAATGTCATAGTATATGATGTCATTGTGAGATCGTTTTGTGCTGTGAATGATTTGTTCCTTACAGAAGGAAAAAACTTGCAATGCTAAAGGAAATTTTACCTCCTGTAGCAAAGGTATACACCCTATTTATTATAAATTAAAATTATTTTAAAATATTGTTTTCTATAGTTACCTTTTATATTTTATAGCAAAATAAATATTTATGGTATATACTACCATTGAGGCATGAATATGCTATTTATGTTTTTTCTCTGTTAGACAATTGGACATACTTATTTTTAAGTTGATTGTCGTTACTGTATTCATGAATACATGGCGCGAATACATGTATTCACATGCGCATACATCTGGATTACCATGATTTTAGGTGCTTTTTACTGTTGTATTTATGAATACAACGCGAATATACATCTGAATTGCCATGATTTTAGGTGCTTTTTACTGTTGTATTCATGAATACAACAACACGAATACATATGAATACATGCACGTATAGCTGGACTGTCCTGATTTTTGGCGCTTTTTGTTGCTGTATTGATGGATACCTGGCGCGAATACATGCGCGTACAGCTGGACTGACCTGAATTACAACAACGCGAATACATGTGAATACATGCGTGTACAACTGGACTTGCCTGATTTTAGGCGCTTTTCGCTGCTATATTCATGAATACATGGTGCGAATACATGTGAATACATGCGCATGGTGGGTCGGGCTGGGTTGGGATTTTTTAGGCCCATACTGTCACGCCCCAAAATCCGAGGAGCGCGACCGACGCTCAACCGAGTAAACTCGACTGAGCAAGCCTGTTAGGTTTCATTCTACCCAAACTAATTCATAAATTAATAAGAGATGAATTCCATTAATCATCTTAGTAAGCATTGCATTAACAACTCCCATTTCATTTCCAATGGCAGCTTAAATCATAATTATAAAAAAGATATTACAAGTTTTAAAATTCTTTGCTAAACATCAATATTTCTACTTTAATTCCAATACTCGACACTACCCACAACCTGTCTACGGAGCCTCTAAACACAACTGAAGAGTAATGTAATATGGAAATGCCGGTAACAAGGCTCCGACTATACCTCAAATACAAAGTACACGATGAACAGATGAAATAGGACCCCGAAACAAAGTGGGGCTCACCAAGTCAGCTGAAAGGATGATGCGGCACTAGCTGCGACCAACACTACCTGCTATAGAAACACCTACATCCATTTAAAGACGTAGCGCCTCCGGCAAAAGGGACGTTAGTGCCATCGAATAGCACTAGTATGTATAATTAAACACCATCAAATTATAAAGAACTTTCATACACAAATAAAGAAATCACAGGTATCACTCCAAAGCTTTAAACGATCACAACATTATCAACGTGAAAGAATTACACAACCTTCACATCATGTTTCCATATCTTTTAGTTGGGCATGTCATACTGTTCCACATCGTTCATATTACCACCGCTATCTTGAGCGAAGTCCGATCTCGACCCGATCGGCTAGGCCATCTCCCGGAGACGTTACCAATATTCTATTCACACTTTCCAGTTTCAATCATCAATGCATAACTGCCATGTGTATATGTCATGGCGTCCGATCACGACCCGATCGGCTAGGCTGCCTTGCCGAGGCGTTACCATTTTCCATTATTCATCTCACTCCAATCTTTGGTTACACATGTATTAGTTTACCGGCACCTGAGGCCACAATTTTCACATTCCACAATTCACGTTTCACATTGTTCCCATTTTCAACATTAGGTTTGTAATTCAAGAGAGTATGGCACACAAGAACAAATAAGGTTGTAGGCATAGATGAGACTTCATGTAAATGGCACAACAACTCACTTCAATTTCAATCTAAGGTCTAAGCATTTCGATACATGATTCATAGTCCTTGCACCTTTTCAAATTATCAAGAATAACACGTTGGTCAATTTGAGACACAGTTTCCACGCATATAAGGTTGCAACTCCAAGTCAAGTGAAATAACAATCAATACAACAATTCAATTTAATCTTACCATACTCAGACAACCAACGATGAAGCTCAATTTCTAAAAGACGGAGTTTTAGCCATACATACATTGTTTAAGCTTTCCTTAAGTTACTACAACGTTCTGGAAATTCTAGCAATCCCAATCTACTTTGAGACATAACAAAATTGAGCACAAATTAGGATGGTATTCATAGTTTCAGCTCATTTGAGCATTTTATCAAATAGTAGTTGGGCATCTTGATTTCAAATCTCTTTTACAAGGTTTCCTTCATTCCTCAACCCAATCTTTACTTATTTATGTTTAACAATCTTTTCACAAACCTAATTTGTACATGCATGTATACATAGTAGTATTACACCCAAGAATCATACCTCAATACCCCACCTTATACCCCGAACTCGAAATTAAAGTCTAGGGTATAGAACCTTACCTCTTAGATGAACAACTTGTGATTGGGTTCTTTGATTCTTGAAAATTGATGCAAGATTGGATGATTGAATATTGGG